GTCCAGCTTTAACATCGGTATCGATATCGGTTATCGGCTACATGAGTTTTAAAATATCGGCATATCGGATATCGGCCAAAATCGTGCATCCCTACCAATAATGGTTACAGTGAGCCATTTGGTAAATGGAAAAAAAAAATATTGTCAATTATTTTAGTCTTTGATATGGATTACAAAAACAAAATCCTATTTATGAGGTGGTAACAATTTTAAGACCTAGGAAGGACCGATTTAAGACATTTAAACCCAATTAAGGCCGTAGATTTATATTGAAGAATTCAAAGACTTTTAAGACTTTTTAAAGAAGGAACCCAGTCTATCAGTCTGTTGATAGACTGTTTGCTGGGGTGACAGTATCAGAGCTAATGACTTAAAAAGTTCATCAAGCTCATTAAGAAGGTCAGCCCTGCTCTATGAACTCCTCTAGAACCTCTGGACATTGTTTCCAAAAGAACAATTCTTCATAAAGTGAAGAACATCAAGGACAACAGTGAGCTTCCTCTTCAGAAGATTTTTAAATGAGAACAGAAAGTCTTCAGTCAGAGGCTTCTCCAGATCTGGTGTAAGACAGACTGTTACAGAAGATCCTTCCTGCCTACAGATACCAACACCTACAACACCTTTCCAAAAAAGTTAAAAACAATACGCTGGACTTTGTTTCAAAGTTTGAAGACGTTTCTCTTCCATCCAGGAAGATTTTTTAATTCAAATGTCAGAAATTGCATTGAGTTCCAGGCTTTATAGTGTAAAAAAGCCTTGTTTTTGTTTTCAAAAACATGCAAATTGAGACGGATGAACGGGTCCACCCCTTTGGAATGGGGGTCGTTTGGCTTCTTTATTAGCCTGCAATGCCCCATACCTGTCTATGTCTCTGAAAGGGGGTCGTTAAAGAGAATTGTTGGCCTGGCTGAATAGGTGAGGTCTTCTGTTTCTCTGTAAAGGGTTTGAGGTTGCAATGATAGCAGGAATCAACTCAATTGCAGAACTGTAGGTTTTCTAAAGCTGGAATCTGAGTCCACCTGTTTTTTCTCCCTAAACAAAATGGCTTCCTTCACGCCCCTCTCAAACCACCCGTCTTCCTTGTCCAAAAGCAGGTGGTTTGATTTGCAATATGCATGTTTTCTAAACAAAAACAAGGCTTTGTCAGGCTACTGTATAAAGCCTGGAACTCAACGCTATTTCTGACATTTTGAATTGAAAAAGTTTCCTGGATGGGAAGAGAAACGTCTCCAAACTTGGAAACAACGCCCATTGGATTGTTTTCTAACTGTTTTTGGAATGACTATAAACTGGATGACAGAGAATCTTCACCAGTACCTACAACATCTGTTTTAACAAAAATTACTTATGAGTTACTGCATAATTTTGTGATTAATAAAGTATTTTTTTAATTGAACTGACATAAATGGTGCTGCAGTTGGTAGAAAGAAGGACCTGAGTTTAAATCTAGAGGTCAGTGGTTGTTTAGGTGCATTGTCCTCATGTCGGTTCAGCTAACCTGAGTCATTAGCAGGAACAGGAAGCAGAGACGCATCTAACGTGCAAGATTGGACCTCGAGGGCCAGGAGTGAGGAAGCCTGCCCTCCAGGTTCCCCATCCTCCTCTCAGTCCAGACCTAGGACTCTGTCCCACGGTATCAGCCAGTGTCTCAGGATTAAAAGGATGTTGTCCTTCCTTTCTCCCACAGGAGTTCAGGAAATGCTTTCACCAAGAATGTTAGGCTGGAGTGTGAGAGGAAGAATCGCCAGGTTTAAGATCCCTTTGTTTCCCAAACAGCTGAACCTGAATGAGAGAGCTCCCCCAAATGGACACTTCATTTTACTGCACTACCATACAATTCATTTGGGTATTAAATTTCTTACTGCTGAATGAAAGCAGCAGAAGCAACCTAATGTACTATTTTACATTTCTATTTCTCTTAATTTGTTGTTTGTTCTTTCTTCTCTACAGGAAAATGTGTTTCTTTACGGCATATTTGACACTAAAAGCTTCTGATTTCATTTCAGTATTAACTCAGTTTGCTTTTAATCCCTGCTTATCATCTCCTTGGTCTGAGGTCTGACTTCACAGCAGCCATTTCTACCCAGAGCAGCGGAACAGGTGGTTGCCATGGTGATTCATCGTTTGCTAGCGTGTTAGCCGCCTCTCCCTGAAAGAGAGTCCTGGTTCTGATTCCTCCTGATCAGCCGCTTACGTACCAGTGGTCGGTGCTCAGGCTGGGAGGGGCCGTCCAGTCCCTCAGAGGTCGCAGAGGGCTCCAACAGACTCCGCCCTTCACCCAGTCTAATGCCGTCTCCATGGCAGCCGCGGACAGGTGCAGCACAGCGGCGGGGTTAAATATGAAGGTGGTCTTCGGGAGTCGGGGGTCGAAGCAGCTCTGATGGAGGGACAGGTGGCTGATGATGTCAGAGAAGGTCCACCGGCTGAAGGAGATCACCTCTGATTGGTCGCAGGTCTGACCAATCACAGCAGAAGGCAGAGGAAGAACTGCATGCTGGGAGACGGAGCTGGAAGAGAAGAAGCTTTAGGATCGTTGGCGGGTCGGACAGAACCGGGTCATGGCGTCGCTTCATGGCGTCTGACTCACCTGAAGCCGTTCTTCCTGACCGCCACGGCGAGGGACTTCTCTGATTGGCTGGCTCCGCCTTCTCTCCGCCTGCGTTTCCTCTGGTTTAAGTCGAGCAGGAGGATCGGCGGCTCCCCCTCAGCTCCTCCTCCTCTGTAGGACACCGCCATCTGACCCACAAACCTCTCCTCCTCCTCCTCATCATTTTCCCTTCCTGAATGAACGGAGCCTTCATGTCTCCTCCTCTTCCTCCTCCTCCTCACCTCCTGTTCCTCACTGCTCCTCCTACTCTGCTCTGATTGGCTGAAGCTGCAGGTGGGAGGCGAGCTGTCGACATCAGACGAAGAGGAGGATGACGGTGAATATGAGGAGATGATGACGTCTGATGAGGGGGCCGATGTGAAAGAGGAGGCGGAGCTGCAGACGACGGCAGGTGAACCTACAGACAGGAAGTGAACCGGTGAGATCAGAGGGAGCAGAAGAACGAGGAGAACGTTGGAAAAGACTCACCTCCTTCACCGCTCTCCTTCTGCTTCTTCCTCCTCTGGTTCTGCTTCCTGCTCCTCCTCTCCAGAGAGTCCAGGCGGCGGCCAAGGGACGACAGAGCTCCTCGCAGGAGGCGCCGCACCTCCATCCGGTGAGCCGCCAAGAGGCGAGGCAGGAGGGAGGCGCAGGAGCAGCATGGGGGGGCGGCGGGGGGAGGAGGGGGAGAGAGACGCCCTGCAGGAGAGAAACATGTTATGTTACAACCTTCATCATGTGAGAGACTGAGAAGGAACCGGAGCAGAACCACCTGCATCGGCCACAGGGAGGAGCGGGGAGGCGGGGTCTGCTGCCGGGTCGCATCCCCGACCGTTCGTCTCCGTCAGGGTCGGAGGGCGAGAGAGCATCGCAAAGACTGAAACACAGAGAGTAAGAGAAGTCAGCTCCCAGCAGTCAGAGGATCTTCTCTGTTTTAACAAATGTTTGGATTCATATCAATCGTTTGTTCTTCAGGTTTCTCCCTTCATCCAGAAGGGGGCAGACTTTAGGAAGTCCTGCCCGACGTTATAACGATGCTAACCTTACATCTAAAGGAGCAATCATTCATTATTTCAGATAGAAAGGACGTAAACATGGAGTGATGTCACACAGCATCCCTCTGTGTTGATCTGCAGCCATGAGTGAAGCTGCTGGAGGCTCCGCCCCTTCCTGCCTGCTTTCATTTATATTAAGTTTTACCATCATTGGAATTTTCTCAATAAAATAGTTTATAAAAAATAAATTAACAATGGCGCTGTGATGACTAATTACCACTGATCTATTTTTACTCTGTCATGCTGGTACTCCCCGCTCCCATGGGGACGCTCAGTAAAAATTCCTTCCTGTGCAGCATTTGGCTGCAAAAACAAGCAGTTTTCTGGCTCTAGAAAAACATTCCACTGGTAATTTTAGAGTCAGTGGATGAACTAACCAAGAAAATCCATCTATACGCTGATGGATCCTATAGTATAGTCTGTTGTGTAACATTAGTCTGGCTTCTCTTGGACTGACTGGAAGACATTAACTGAATTAGCCAATGACATTGCGTCTAACGTAAGAAAAATAGAAAGTAGAGTAAATAGAAACTAATTCATTGTGAAATACCAATGCAGTAATTCTTTAAGTGGATGATGCTGTTCTTTTGTAGTGTCTGTTGTATTTCATTTGAAAAAGTCATGAGCTGAAATATATTGCATGTATATTAAAGAAAAAGAGAAAAACATTTGACCCTTATTTTTATATATACACACACACACACACACATATATATATCTATAGCATGCATTATCAGACATGTAAGATGTAATTACCATAACAGTCTAATAAATCCATATATATTACATGTACATCATCCATTTAGCACTGTTGGCACATCTGTATTATTATGCTCCAATAACACATAAATTTTATGTGATTTATTTGCATAATATATTATATTACATGATTCATAGACTTCATTTACTTCATAATGACTATGCAATGTGATGGGCCTTTTTTTATATTAAGTTAAAGTTAATCTACTGATGCTATGAAACAGCCAGTCTGTGTCAAAGTGATGAATTTAACTTTAATTTAAAAGTCTTAAGTCCCGCTAAAAATGGGAACACCGTCGTTGTTCGATGCTGTAGCTCACAAATTGTTTACATTGTGACCGATCTAACTAGGGAGTACCGATATGGCAGCCGGTGGCTTCACTTCATCTCCGTCCTACCAACGGGCGATCAGCAACACGTGAAGAAATAGAGATCAGTGCTAATTCCATTCCCAGCTCTTTACTGTCATTGTGTCACAGCGCCACCAACTGGTTTAGCATAATTTCACAGCATTTTCAGTTGTTGTAAAACTTCTACATTTTAGAGCATTTTATCTTGACCCAAAGCAGAGGGCAGAGAGCAGAGGGGGTGGACAGGATGTACGACGGAGTGTTAGGGCCAGGCTAGAGATTTTTTCCTTCTATTACGAGAATAAAGAGGTAACATTATGAAAATAAAGTCGTAACATTACGTGAATAAAGTCGAATATTACGAGAATAAAGTCAAATATTAAGAAAATAAAGACGTAACATTATGAGAATTAAGTCGTAACATTACGAAAATAAAGTCGTAACATTACGTGAATCAAGTCGTAACATTACGTGAATCAAGTCGTAACATTACGTGAATAAAGTAAAATATTACGAGAACAAAGACATAACATTATGAGAATAAAGTCGTAACATTACGAAAATAAAGTCGTAACATTACGTGAATCAAGTCGTAACATTACGTGAATAAAGTAAAATATTAAGAGAACAAAGACATAACATTATGAGAATAAAGTCGTAACATTACGAAAATAAAGTCGTAAC